ATCATCCGCATACACTTGTATGGAGGAGTGTATAGCATCAGGCATGTCATTTATGAAACAAACAAACAACAGCGGGCCCAATACACTGCTCTGTGGTACCCCGCTTGTGACAGTTACAGATGATTTCGTGCCATTAACCACCGCACACTGCTTGCGGTCATGTAGAAAATCTTCTATCCACGCTAGGACTTTTCCCCGAATCCCATACCCTTCCAGTTTAATTTTCAGCCTTACATGGGGTACACTGTCGAATCCTTGGCAAAATCTAGGTATATATTGTCGATATTACCACCCTGTTTCAGAATATGGGTCCAAATATCCCTTACCGGGGTACCTTGAGCGATTGTGTTAAGCAGGAGCGCTCCGGCATAAAACCGTGTTGGCAATCCTTTACAAGGTTGTTTCGTAGTAGATGTTCCATCGCGGCATCTATGATAATGCTCTCAAGTACTTTACATACTATGCTGGTCAGGCTCACCGGTCTATAGTTGTTCGTGGAGTGACGATCGCCCTTCTTGAAGATAGGACTCACATAAGCCATTTTCCAATCACTGGGGACCTTTTGTTCATCCAGGCATTTACAGAACAGGATCTTCAGGGGCTCGGCAAGCTCGTTGCACACCTCTCTTAGCACTCTGGGTTGCACCATGTCAGGGCCGGGACTCTTATGGACCTTTAGCTTTGACAATCTATTTCTTATACCCTCTTCTGTGAACACAATGTGGGTCAGTGCTGTGTCAGACCGTCTGTTCTCAAACGCAGGAAGGTTAATCGCATCCTCTCTTGTGAACACCGAGGAAAAGAAGCTGTTCAATTCCTCAGCTTTATCCCGGTCAAAATCTGTGTAACTACCATCTTCAAGCCTCAAGTCTGATACTCCTACTCGTGTTTTTAATTTCGACTTTGCATAGCGGTAAAACGCCTTTGGGATTGACTTGACCTCACTTACAACCAGCCCCTGGAACTCCTTTTCAGCCCTTCTACACTCTGCCTTTGCTTGGTTTCTGCCTCTTGCATACATCCTTCTGTCCTGCTCATAGTTAGACCTAACCCACGTCTTGAATTTCTGGGTTTTCTTCTTAACTCTGTCAACCGCCGCATGGTTCATGTGTAGGGATCTCCTCGTATTCCTAGAGGCACTGGGTTTGGTCTTGGGTATACAGTCTCTCCTCGACTTACGACGGGGTTCCAGACCGACGACCAGGTCGTAAGTCGAATTGGTCGTTAGTTGAAAAGGTGAAAATAATACATAGAAAATCTAAAATGGATGTCTCTTTTTCTTCTCAGCACCACGAGAACTCTCACCTTTACGCTTGCCAGCCATTTTAAATGGAATTAAAAAAAAAATGTTGTCAGGACACAGCACGATCACTAATGTTGGGACTCGAAAATACGTAATTTGAAAAATATTTTATACTACTGCGGTGGTCGTATGTCTGGGTGGTCGTAAGTCGATGAGTATCTGTTTATTTGTTGATCAAATGGGTCACTTTACTAGTTATGATATTCTGCGTAGTGTCTGCGTTTTTGTGCCTTAGTGAGTCAGGCCAGTGGATACCCCTCATCCCATCGTAATTTCCCTTGTAATATTTGCGCCTTGGCCTGGCTTTATCATTAACTAGGTAACAGTTAAATCTGAATGACAACACTACATGGTGACTGGTGCCAACTGGGGCTAGATGTTCCAGTTTGGCCACCATACCCTCCTCGTTTGTTATGATGAGGTCTAGTGGCTTGAGTTTTTGCTCCCCTCTGTAATGTGTCGGGGTCTTTAATATGTTGGAACAGAAAATTATCTCTCAGAGTTTCTACAAAAAGAGTGGCAGGGTTATTCAAGTCATTTGGGGTGAACTTGTTTCTCCAGTCGATGTCGCCATAGTTAAAGTCCCCATGATAAGGAGGTGGTTAGGGTTGAGCATCGCTGCATTGTCTATTAAGGCTCTGTTTTTGTACAACAGTTCTACAACTACATTATTGGGTTGGTGTACCTTCAGTAGTGTTTCAAACTCCTCTCTCTTATCAAGTAACATGTCAGTATTAGTGTACTGTACTGTACTTGACATTCAAGCCAGAATTTGTTCTTTTCAGTAACGTCTCTGCTGTTAGTAGTAACTCCGGCCCCCCCTCCATTCTCAGAAGCTGCAGCATTTGCTAAGTACACTGTATTTTGCAGGCTGTGGTTAGAAATGTCATTGTTTACACGGCTCTCGCCTCTTCCTGTCTTGTAGGTGGAGCTGGTGCCTCCTCCTGGGTGGAGGGTGCGCTGCTCCCCATGGCTCTGTGTCGGCACACTTACTTCCACTGCCCTCTCCCTGAATTTAACCCATGTACACCTGTCCCAGTTCCTCCTCGACTTCCTCTTCTGCTTCAAGCCCTGCAGGAGCTTCTTGTGCTGTTCCTTCTGCATTACCTTGTGATCTAGGTAAATGAATACATTCCGAAATGCCTCGCTCCTTGCTAAGTTTTTTGTCTGCCGAATAACCTCCCATTTCTTCTCCTCAATCACTAGTGTGATCCTGAGGGGGCGAGGCTTGTCGCCCTGCTTTTGTCCCAGCCGCCTCACATCCTGAGGGGAGGATGGCATATTCAGAACTTCTGTACAAATATTCTTAAACTGCATCTTATTGTGTGTTATCCTAATCTCGGTTTCCTCCGCCTGGCTTTCAGGGACTCCAAAAACTATTACATTGCTCCTGCGTGGGAAACGTTTCTGTTGTTCCTTCTTTCCCCTAACAGTAGGTCCGCTGGTTGCCATCTCTTCGACACACTTCTTCAGAGTCCATAGCTGTTGTAGAACTTGTTCTGAACCTGCATTACTCTCCGCCACCTCCTGTGGCCCTGTTAAGGCCTGAGCATAACTCCTCTTTGCTACCACCTCCATTCTATTGGCTACTTCCTCAGTCTTAGCAAGGATCTCTTTCCCAACTTGTTTAAGTTTTGGCAACCAGCAAGGATTCAGCTTCATGTATTTTCGTCCCTAGGAAACTTATTTCCCTGTGGTTTGCAATCGTTTCTTCCACCTTGACTATGCAGTCATTGCAATATCAGCAACAGCCTTCATGCTTTATGGCAACTTGCATCATCCTAAACTCTGTATTGGTCAGGTCTGTATCATCTACATCCATCGTCGCCGTGCAGTAATCACATGTCAGCAGATTTCCTGGTGCCGCTTCACCCCCAAGTTTCATACCCCTCATGGTTGTTGCTGTTTGGGAGGAGGGGTGGGGGGGCTGTGTATGGACTACACCTATTTAAAAAGAAAGAAAAAAAAATAGTACTTAGCTGTCCTCTGCAGGTTTTAACTTCTCCTCATTTGTCCTTCCAAGACAGTTTGAGTTATCTTCTGTTTTCCCCCTTTTTTTTTTGCCAGTTCTCCTTGATGAGTTCTTGGTATCTATGTGCTCTCCCTATGTACACTGTATCTTGCTATGAATGACGAAACATATGCCCACTCAGTCCTTCAGAAACAGAAAAAAAATACTTTCTTTAGTGTGGCAATAGATTGCCATTCTAGATAGCCCTGCTTGTTTTTTGTTTTTTTAACTATTATTTCCTTATACGTACTGTATTTTCCTTTCCCGTTCTCATCAATGAATATATATCTTTTTGCTATCACTGTGTACATTGTATCTCCCGATGAATGGTGGATTGTAGGCACAGTTTCAGTCCTTGAGAAAGCATCAATAATACGACTTGGTTACTGCTGGCAGTGGTGCCATAATTGCTTGCCCCAATTTGTTCTTCACTTCAAATTATTTACAACCTCCACCGTGGTCACTGATTTCACTATGAACCGTCTTAACTAAAGGCACAATACTACACTCTCTGGTTGGCCTTTGGATGGTCAATCACAGCCATGAGCACAACTAAAAAAATAAAAAAAAAAAAATAAATAATACTTGTCATATGGCATTGGTTGTATGCCTCCTTACCCAGTGACCTAGGCTGTACCTCCAGTCGGTGGAGAGTGAATTTTCAAATATACAAATGCGACTAACATTATAAGTCCTACGTCAATTTACACTTTCACCTCACTAAGACGATCTTCATGCTCTTATCTAATCACTGTCCAATTTCTGCCCCTCAACAATGTAGGCCCGAATGCCAACACGCTTTGTTACAGAGACGCAACACGACCCGAGATATAGAAAGGAGAGGTACACAAGCACCCCTCTCACATGTGTCTAGGCTTGGACTCAAACCCAGGACTTGGAATCAAGAGCTATGCTAAACACATTTTTCACGTGCCTGGGCCATAACACGAACCCAGGACATGTGGTGATGTAAACACCCTTCTCACATATGTATTTTATTTTTTTATGGAAGTATATTGTTCCTACACATATCTGCCTATGAAAACTAAGAGGGTATAAAAACTTATTATACAGTACATATTTGTATCAACAGAGAGCAACAAGGCCAGGCATGTATCATCAGGGGAGGACTGCTTCATTAGTGTTTTTCAATAACTGGTCAGTGCACTGTACAGTATATTTTTAAACATTACAATAAATATGTAATTTTTTTAGTATAGCATTATACCATGCTCATTTTTAACATTGAGGTGTATAAGATTAGGTTTGTCTCTCTGCAGTCACTAACCCCAAACCCCTTATTTCCCATTAGATCCAGCCCTTGCTAACCATGGGAGAATTCTAGAATGTAACCCCCTAAATTGACAAGGGATTACGGTACTATAAATTAATAATTGCTGATAGTGCATGAATAAACAGTGTGACATTGACTATTGCTGGAAACATAAGCCCTTTTTTTAGGAGGAACCTGTCCATTTATATGGTTTTCACTTACACTGGCCTTTTCTTGGAACAAAACCCCTCGTATAAACAAGGGCAACCTGAGGTGTAAAATGCTGCAGTGTTGTACAGTACTGTATTTTACATCTTATAGTATTTGTGACTATTAATATCACCAGACACTGCTATGCACCCTTTGACCCCTTATCTGTATTTACAGGTAATAATATAAATAAAACAATAATAAAATAATTCAAAGAGTCTGTTGTCATTTTTAATAATTCTCTATGGTATTTTGACCAATTAAAAATGCCATTTGGCCTTACACAAATTTTCCAAGGCCCACATAATTCATTGCCTTGAGGCTTTATTATTTTAAACACGGATAGACACACACATTATATATAATTATATATATATATATATATATATATATATATATATATATATATATATATATATATATATATATATATATATATATATATATATATATATATATATATATATATATATATATATATATCAATGATATTAAAAATCATAAGAAAGGGTAATAAAACAGAAACTAAATTATTACATTTGGCCATATCATTGTAAACATCAAGCTTTACAGTGAGTTTCATAAATAATTGTTTGAGATATATTCTATTATAACACAATATCATTAAATATTGATATCCAAATTATAGTTCTCTGAATAAAAAAGAAAAACAACTTGTGAAAAATGATGTAGCTTGACTGTCCTGATGTATATCCATAATATGTAGCAACCCATAGTTGCAGGACAATCACTTGCAACCTTTGTTAACCATAAATATAAAGTTTTATACTCTTCAAGGAACAAATAAGCAAACAATTGAAAAGAAATAATATATTTTATGAGAAACTTAAACTATACTATGGTGAGTAATGGTGATGCATGTGACTAGATAAAGATACGCTTATACTTATCAACTAACATCTTTGGTTTCATTCTTCCAATCACCAAGTCAAGTGTCTTGACAAACAAACATTCTACTTTATTTAGATGGTAAAATACCTCTGATGACAAGTTTCTACAAGGGGGAAGTAAAAAAAATAATAATAATGAAGCTGTGACATGATCAGCAATTCTGAGTATTAAAACAGTCTTTCAATAAGACTAATTTGGCCAAGTAAATGTGCCTTATTGAAATCCATCTAAGGCTTATAATTACTGATTTCACAGATATAAGACTTTGAATTGCTATCCTTTACCCTGCTTGGCAAGGTGAGTGTCCAGTTCTGGGAGACATCACAGAGGTTCAACACTAGTGCACACAAACCTAACAATCTTCTGTAGTAACAGAATCTGGTAGTGAGGGGAGAATAACAATGGAAGAAATAGCCGTATGAGTGCTGGAAGATTAAGAATGAAAGTATAAAGCAAGGACAGTTCAAAATGAACCAAAAACACTCCACAACAGCAATGGTTTAACCATAAGTCATAACTATTGCAGAGTACTTCTGACTAAAAAATTTCTAGTATATGACTTTATTTTTGTTATAGAAACTTTTTCTTGGTGCTAATAATAATTCTGAACCTAGCTTATTGTTTGTAAGGTTACCAAGAGGATACTGGCCCATTTGTGCACCAGCTAGATGCTGGGGTAGGCTGTTGTCTGAAGGCCTCTGGGCTGCTGTTCGCACTATCTAGGTGAGGAGAATACAAGCTATACAAGTACACCACGTACCCTCTAACTTTTAATGTACTTTCATTCGTACCATAATGCTTCTGACACATCATCATAAACTTTGTATAGTATTGTACAATTTTTAATAAATAGTGATAGTACTGAGAAATCCAATGAAATCATTATATTCTCAATATCTCTACAGGCAGCATGGTACTATATTTGATTTTTTTTTAATTTTGGGTTTATATTACACCCCAATGTCTACATAAAACTAAAATATTTATCTGAATACTAGTGCTGCCCTAAACTCACTCCTATTCTGGAATAAAAATCATCGCTTACTTGAAAAATTATCTCTATATATATACTGTATGTATATATATATAGTATCACAACTTACAAGATTTCTTATTCACAACTTGATTAATTCTACTCATGAGAATGTATTTTCTGTGCAACAGTTGCCTAGTATCTTGCGACTGGAAATCTGACATAAAAAAGAGAATCATGTTGATGGGCTTCACATGTGTCCGACCCACCAACAGACTGTCTATTGCAACTTTCCCAACATGTCTGCATCATACAGTAATGCCTTGTAAAGTTACATGAACTCAGCAGAGGAAGATACATCCAAGACACATCAGCTCTTACAATAGATATGCATACACTACACATCAACAAGATATTGAGGTGTATAGCATGTTGTGAAATGAAAATGTATACAATTTACAGATACTCCTATTGGGGAAACTGTGTATGACAGAGCAATTCTAGCATTAGATGAATAAGGCATACATCAGCTCCTAAAAGGAAACTGTCTATGACATACAAGAGCTCCAGTTTGGAAGAAGAGTATGTCATACATAAAACCCTTTGAGAATACAAAAAAATAATTAAAATCTTACAGTAAATAGCATGTCTCATTTAAGTCATGAGCACAGAGATTCAGCCCCCTTCAGAAATTGTCAATAATGAGCAACAGGACCACTGTCTCCCCATATACTTGTCAGTAAACTGCATTTTACTTCTCTTTTAAATATTTTTGTTACCAAATAATATGTACATAAATTAAAAAAATAAGGTTTCTCACACCTCGACTTAAGACTTGATGATATATCTTGCAATGCTAATGAGTCTACTATAATCATTAATGATCACAATTAAGGGTGATGCCGGTAGAGCCTGTGTACAGTAAAAAGCAACAGGCAAGCATGTGGGACGAACAATTAATTAGTGAAATAATTGTTAGCCCTCTTATGAAGAACATTTGGAAGGAACACAGCAGACACTGCAAGATTAAATGGGTGGTTGCAGTGTGCCCCTAAAGCTCAATTTTTAATAGTATTGTCATGTTAGGGACTAGAGAACAGATAGCCAGGCAACTCTTACTGGAACATCTCAAACTAGTTATTCCACCAGATAAAAAGGATGAGGCAAACTATCTTTCTCAAACATTATATGTAATTATTACAGGTTCACTGACTCCTACTGCATGCTTTAAGGGAGGGTTTTCAAAAAGTATGGTCCAACCAGTGGATGTGGTTAGAGGCTTCCCCATATTTGTTGATCACATCATTTGATAAAATATGAAAGTCACTTCAAAAGGAACATTTTCCTGAAAAAACAGAAGGACCTTACCCCAGGCAGTGCAGTCCTGTTGAACAGTGATTTTAAGTAATTTTTTTGCTTTTTCTTACACAAATAACACTCATATAATTTTTCTGTTGTCTTCAGTACCTGACTGGTTTAGAAATTAGTACAGTATGAATATGTGACAAGTCAGTGACAACTCAAGCTGTAGCAGATGTCATGTGCTGCTCATAAAGTTGGTGTGTGAGGCTCTGATAAGACCCTGGATTGTCCTTATTTCACTTAGTCGGAACAGAAAGGGTATTGGGGTGGCTGCCACCAGATGTGTGACGACTACGGCGACCTAACTTTGATCTGTAAAAGAAAGAAATATAGTAGTACACTGATATGAAAATCTGCAAAAACAATTTACTCCAATAACATATAAGTACAGTATATACAAGCACTTTCTTACTTTGGTGTAGGGTAGCTGGAATCAAGAACAACACGAAGTCCTCCTAATTTGCTCCTTCTACCTGTTTACATATACTGCACCTTCACTTTTTTTATATATTCATAATTCAATTTTTTTGGGTCAATTTTATATTCTTTATCAGAATGCGGAATTGAAGATACAGTATAAGGCATACAGTGTATAAGCTTAGCCGAGAAACTAGTTAAAACGATATGAAAAAGGTGAGAGGTCTGTGGATATTATATGGAGCAAGCAATGAACATATTTTCTGAAGTGGATCCATTAACAGAACAAAGCATAAAATTTAAATAAACGCAAATGACCTCTACATAAAGATGTATAATGAGAAAAGAAAGCAGCTGTGCAAGGTTCTTTCAACAGCTTTATTATTCAAAGGCCTAAACCATCAACTTCAGCTACACCATCAAATTCAGCATCATATGCAGCTTCAACATCAACTTCAGCTTCAGTAACAGTTTCAGCAACAGCTCTATGGAAAGCTACAGCTTCAGCCAGAGTTGAACCTGATTACTTCGTCATCTGAGTAAAAACTCGCACAATATTCACTGGCTGTCCTTATGTTTTAGACTTTACCACCATTGGTGAGTAGAATTTTTGTTTTACATTTGTAAATATTATTTAAAACATATATGAACAGTAAATAAGTGTTGCTTTCATATTCATATGTAGAGAAATGACGATATGTTTTCACATGTACGCACTTACTGTTCATACGTTGGCGTTCCCAATCGTCTCGCCTTATTTCTTTACCATTAGTGGTTAGCTACTTCTAGTGTTCAATTTATTAACATTATATAACTTTACTTAAAACATACATACAGGTATTCAATTTTTTTTTTAATTAAGTTCACTACAGCTACAACCAGGGTCTTATTTTCTTCAGTTTCTTATGTAGAACCGTCACTCACGAAAACAATGCTGTCTTGTCTCTTGTATGTTTTAATATTCTACGTATTATTAATGAGTTGCATTGTTCATTTCACATATATAAACATCAATTCAATCAAATACATATTCAGTAACAAACAATAATGAATCTTTTGTACATACAGTATTCTTAAAAAGATAAATGACGCGGTATCCTTAAATGCGCACATACTTATTTGTTGGCATTCCCAATCCATCTCTTTTTTTTTCTTTGCCATTAGTGGTTAGCTACTTCTATTGTTCCATTTATTAACATTAAATAACGTTACTTAAAACATATACCCGGTATATTCATTTTTTTTACATTAATTTTACTACAGCTACAACCTGGGTCTTAATTTCTTCATTTTCTCGTGTAGAACTATCGTCCCGGACTCCCGGCTGTAAACACAAACGAAAACAATGGCATCCCATCTCCTCTTGTGTGACCATATTATTATTTATTTATATTGTATAAGGTGCATTCAGAAACATTATTTAAAGAACATAGTTTGCAATTTTCATTAATTGTATTGTTTTGGGGGGAAAAGAGGGTAAAGAGCCACACAAAAGATATGAAAAGGTCACACTGGGGAATGCATCTCATTATTATTGCTTTATTTTAATGGTAATTAATGATTCGCGATAAGACGATTCACCTTACACTGCAATATTGGAGGACACATTAACGTCGTTATTCGAGGCTTTACTGTACAGTTGTTCATTCACCACACTCTCCTATTGTTTAATATGTCTAATTTCACCTCTAAAATGACACTGTTTTGCAGTTTCTTAATACAATGCCTTTATAATGTATGCATGGCAAAGCACTGGTGGGCTTTTTTGCACTTTCTGCAAAATTTTTTGGGCAATTTTTAAGAATTAGTTGTGTACTCTGATTAATTGATTGATGTAGGCCTACTTAGGGAACTCTCAACTTCTAAAAAACACTACATTTAATGTATTTTTATTAAAATTATGCATAGAATGATGTTTTCTTTATTCTTTTATTTAATTAGTAAAACAAATTTTAAACTGGGTTTGTATGAGTTTGTGGATGCAAAACGTGACATAGTCTACTGGTAGGTCTGGGACTCTAAGGTCCCAGGACACAGGAAAATACACTTAAAACTGGTTCAGTCTTGGTCCCAAGGATTAGAATTATACATGTAATTCCTTCAACCAAGAGCCCTGAAGATATCAAATTAGTGAGGGTTCAGTGTATTCATGTAGTCACTAGCAATCTGTTACTCTTTTCAAGTTATACTACACTGACATTAGGTCTGTATACTATTTTTACCCCATATTACAAATCCACTATATATTTTGTGTGCGGGTTAAAACATGTATGAGTATGTGTGCTCACACATTTACAGTACATACCGGTATATTTGTTCAAAACTACAATCTTTTGGGAGTACAAGTAGGTGTGTAAAAATGTATGATGAATATGTATTGTTTATGTAAATATATGCATACAACTCTCACTCTAATGTGTTAGTATCTGCATACATATGCATGTGAGTATGAATACATACACGAGGATGGGTTGTCTTTAATTTCAATGATAACATATTATCTCCCTGTATAACTTGTTCTACCAATATCTGACCTGATCTGTCCTGCTAAAAGTGGGTTGATGGCATATAACCAATCATGCACTTCCTTGTCTCCCAGGGTCTGCAATAGGAAGCCTCGCTGTTTGGTCACCACACTGTAATGAAGAAGTTTGAAATTACTGTAACTAAATTCACTTTTCACAACAGAGAATATAATATCAAATCTACTTTATGAAAGATATTCCTTTAAATAAGACTAAATATTCATAAGTAGCACCAATCAAACTACATCATTATTTTTGGCAAACATTTATTTTCTCTTTAAACACACAAAAGACCCAGTCCTAATATTAATCATATTCATAAATAATATGAAATAAATATTCTGCTATGTCATGCATCACTCCACATTTAAATTATTAAATCCTGTTACATTAAAACATATAAGGGACTTAAAATTCTGTCTCACGTTCTTTATTAAAAACCTTTCAGAATGTGTTATTTTGAGTGTTATATCTTTCACCTTTTGTTTGCTTAGACCAGTGGCTTATAAATTTTTGGAGATGCTCCCTCCCCCACCCTCCATGATCAACCTTGAATCCATGGCACCTTATCGTCAAAGGGCCAGAGAACACATTATTTCAGGCTTCTGTTTCACCACCATGATTGTAATGATTTTTCCATAACTTTTATAGTTTCATTACAGGTAACAAAGGAAACATGCCATCTCACAGGCCACCTCCGCCTCGGTTTTCCCCCAATCATAGTGAGACGAACATTGCTAAGCTGAATTTTGACCCAACTTTAAAAAAGAAAGGGCAAGAAAAATTTTATATCACTAAAATAAATTATATTAAGTGAATTAATGCTAAATGAGGGATACCTGTAGATACAATGTCATTTGCACTTACTGAGTCGTGTGGATTTCCTTAGAAACAGCAATCAAACTATAAACTTAACCTGCAGCATGGACAAAAACCCACTTGATATTTTCAACAGCTTTACTTTAATAATCATAACAGAACTTGTAGCTCCCACACAAAACCCTCTTTGCATGTTCAATTCATTCAGACCACGAAGGAAATAGAAGTTATACTCATCTGCCCCATAAACCAGTCACAATTTCACAAAGATATGACAAGTGTAAAGCACATTTGACTCGCATCCTATTAATTTGAGAGAACCTGCAAATCTCATGGGATTATTTCCAGAGTCCCATTTCCTGGGAAAGGTGAATAGGAGGAGGAATGTATTTATAAATATTTCTGTTAGATGGTCTACTTTCCTGCTTGGAATGGTGACACATGTATCCAAGTATTGATGGTTGAGTAGTTGTTTTGGAAAGACCACCTCTGTTGCTCTTTCTAGAGCACAGCAAGGTTGCTCTGCCATTGGGATTTAATGAGCTGTAAATATTACAAGCCACTTATGAAAACTCATACAAAAAAAAAATAATTCTAAAATGTTTAAAGATAAACCCTGAAAAATGTATAAGTTACTAACCTGAATGAATTAGGTACCCGCACCATGGCCTGTTGGTCCTCAGAGTATTCAATTTGGGCAGTGGCCAAATTAATGAGTCCTCGTTCTACAGGGTCCCGCTCATCTCGGAAGATAAATACATATGGTCGTCGTACAACCTAATGGAAAAACATTTACTTTCTTAGACAAAAGAAAAGAAAAGGCAGACAAAAAGTAGAAATGGTAGATAATATAGTGGAAAGAGCATGTATGAATATATTAAAATAATGGTAAAAAAAGTAATACCCTGTACTTGAAAACTACACAGGTGCTCCTCTACTTAAAAACGTTCAACTTACAAACTTTCAGAGATACAAACATCATCATTGAGGGGGGTTACCTGCCAGAACAGGTGTTTAATGTGGATGAGACTGGATTATTTTGAAGAAAATTCCAGAAAGAACAAACATTACCTAAGAGGAGAGAGTGAGCCAGGTTTTAAGGCTGTATTAAAGGGTATAGCTGTACTAAATACCCATAATCTTTTCGTTTTTTACAATATGTTTGGTATCTACAAGAGTAAAGTTGGACTTACAAACAAGCCTCAGGAACGTAACTCGTTCGTAAGTAGAGGAGCACCTGTATTGCTATCTCTTGTTGCGCAAAATACTGCATTAATAAAAGTCCATTCAGATAACCAATATAACTACCACATAAACACAACTATCAATATTTTCATAACAGTTGTCATCATCCTCATTACTGTTTTATGATTACTTTCCAAGTTTGTGTGGGTTGGCCATGTTTACCTGATGGCAGCTCTCCAAGCTGTACATATTCTTGCAACCTCTCTCTTAGTTACCAGAAGGCAATTTTAAAAGAAAATTTACTGCTGGATACCCTTCATATTGCCAACCCACTTTTATAGAGTAGGAACAAAGCATTTTGTGTAGGATTTTAAATCATCCTCTTATATGGCAAGGCAGGATTGCAACTCCCTGAGGTAATCAGAATTTATCCACAAGTCTGTTTGAAACAAGTACTGTATACAGTATCAGGATACAATTAGTAACTCTGAATGATTGAAGACATTCTGGAAGCAAAAGAACTTGAAATAAGAACAATTAAAAACTTTGAGATAAATTTTTCTTTTGGAGTAAGAATTTCACTCACTAGATGAAAACTCTAAAATTAAATAAATAAATTTGTGATTTATCTCTTAATGAAATATGATATTGCTAACTAGAATAATTCTGTGCAAACTATCAAAGTGTGGACATAGTTTCTAAAGCCTAATTTTAAGGCTTAAGAGTAACAAGAACTGAACCATACAAAACATTGATCATATCTCCTTGGAGGAAGTTAATCTAAGACTTACCTTTTAACCAAGAATAGTGTTCTAACAAAGTCACTCCCCTAATGATGGCTACATCAATTCATATTTGAAAACTGGCTGTATAAATGCTGTGAGTTGGGAGTTTCCAATTCTAAAACTTTGAAGAAATATGACAAATTCCAGCAATTTTACATAATGTAGTTGCCAAGATATACACAACTGCCATACTCATGGACTTTAACCTCTTCAGTGATGAGCTTTATAGGAGCAAGCCTCCATATGAAAACCTGTGAGGCATGACAGCCAAGTCTTTTTGACTGAAGCAATGGTATTTTAGACTCCATCTTTGTTTTGCTATTAATGCAAATCTTTAGAAAACCTGTGATCAGTTGGTAGATCTAAAGACATATTTAATTGGTTATCATGTAGGTCGCTCTTTTGATCTCCCTGGAAGAAATCCATCAATTGAGTGCCAAGCTCTCCCAAATTATAAGTTCTGTCATCATGCTTAGTAACCAATTACCTGCTCCTCCCACAACAATATACCCAGTAAGATAATATCCATTATATCTTTAATTCTGCCCTTATCTACTCTATTGTCCAATTTTTACTTATCATTTCCATACTTTTAAAACTTTTTTATATGATTAGTCTTGGTGAACAATAATGAAACAGACACAGTGTTATCATAATCTAGAATTATATTCAATTATACTTGTTCAAGTATTCATAAATGAATATACTGTATTCTTAAATTTGTTTTGTAATTGTAATCAATCACATTTGTCTACAGTATTCCCATTATGTTGAATATGAAAATACTACATATTCCTGGCTACTGGTATAATACCTTGATAGGCTGCATATCATCTGTGTACGTATCTGGATTAGTGACCTATCAGTCAGGTGCAGATAAGCTGCTTTGGTTACTAGATTAAGCATCATAAGTACTGGTAGTACTGGTAACAGTTAGTCAATGTCAGCAGTGTCAAAGAGACTGCCAAGCTGAGTGACTACACATGAAGTCATGACCTCACGGGGAACAGGGGTCACCACCACTGACCAAATGAGAGGGGAAGGGGGGGGGAAGGAAGGATGGGGAAGGGGTAGGAAACATTAAGCTTGTATCTGACAATGAGAAAGGATGTGATGGTGTGGTCAATGAGTAGGTGGTTGTCAACTTGTTATTACCATTGGTAATTTATTAATGACAACATCTTTCATCTGGATTGATTGGAGACAAAGTCTTATAAAGTAAGGAACACTCTTCTTTAGTGTGAAACTTTTTGTCATAGGTATTACTACAGCTTACTTTATCAGTTTACAGTGAATCTGATGAAAATCCTTAATGTAACTAGACTGCAAGCAGCTACTGACCGAGTTGGTAAAATGATGCACAGTAGCACATCGATTTAAAGCGATTCAATTTAAGATAATTGATTTAAAGCGATACCCACAATTAAGGACAATGTTTTAATTTAAAGTGAATCTTTCATATTTTGCGAGAGTCAATCTGGCGCATCATATTTTAAAATTCGCGCCTAATGTTTCTCTGGGCACGCTACATTGTCCTAGGGGCAAAGCTCTACTGTACATGTACTCAAAATAATGTAATAAATGATTACTAAAATTTTTGTCTAGTGCAAACTATAGCAAGATTATATTCAAATGAATCACTATCTTATAAGAATTCCAGCAATGTAAATTATATTCTCCTCGGTCACTTCTGTGACATTTTATAAACAAAAAACAAAAACTCAATAAAGGACACAAATAAACAAATAAACACTTCACTACACCTTCGGCCCCAACTGTCAAACGTGTCACTGTCACCTCCCTCCTCCCATCTTCCCAGCCAGGGTTGGGTGGTTATAGGCTTACAGTTTTTATCTTATATAATATCACAGTCTAAAGTTAGGAGAATATAATTTGCATTGCTAGAATCCTTCCAAGACAGCGAATAATTTGAATATAAACGTCATGTATTTTGCACAGATGGCTTCAAGGAGTAGGGATAGGAAGGAGTCAGATTTTGTTCAGGAAAATGGAAATTTATAATCCTGCATGCTTTCAGTTTGAACAGTGCCAAAATTTCTGAAATAAAATTTTACTGTTAATTCATTATATCCACTCCTATTAACCAACAGGAAATGTGCCGTCTTTTCTCAAAAAATTTCCTTGCAGTCTACCACACACTTCATGCTCAGTCTCCATTGGAAATAAATAACAGCATATACTTACCACCCATCTCTTTATCCAGGTGTTGGTTCGGTCATCCAGAACATTGAGGTAGCCCTTTCGGCTGACAACTGGTGATATACGTATTTCCTCAACCTCTGGGACAAAGAGTGGCATCGGTCTGCACTCTACCAGAGGTGACGAGCCATCGGAATCTCCAGGGCTTGCAAGGGGGGAATCTGGTGGTACTACAGCCGACCCACCAAGAGCAATATGAAGTTCTGGTACAGGTGCACGAGGTCGCTCTGGTGAGGCTAACCTGGAATACAGTTTCATGATGTAATTTGGATTCTTATATTTACATTTGTCCTGCATTTAATGTACAAGAAATTAAGCACTTCATCTTTACAATATTCATAATTATCCAAAATCCACACCCTATCAACTTATTCTTTGTTCTCATTTTATATTATCTGCACATCACAGTCTTTACACTGCATTAAGGTTTTAAAAAGAAAGCTTTTCTTGTGATGATACAAACAATAAAATATAAGGAAATTATATACAAATGTAAGGAATGAAGATGAATAAATGTGAATTTAGAGAAATGTTCACGATTGCACAATTGTTGGTAAAGTTTTGAGAGAGAGAGAGAGAGAATTAACCTGGGAAAGCACTACCTCTAAATACCATCTCTAACCATTCAAAGAGGCCATATACAGTACTATATGGTAGTTTAATTGAGGGTATACACTCTAGAGTTTCAGACAAACAAGGCCAAATAATGAAAAAGTTGCTAAATGTACAGTAGCATTTCTCACTCACTTTGTCCCAGATTGTCAGATTCTATGAACCATTGGTCTGTTATTGAAATGTGAAAGTGTGTCTAACAATGCTTTAGGAACAATGAAGCAAGCAATGCACTTGACTGTCTTCCTCTCTCCAAATAAGTTGAGTCCCAATTTACAGCTGGGTGAACTGGAACAAACCAGCATCCCTTAAGAAAGGTGAACATTGACTACCACATTCCTGAGTAAAACATAAGAGAACAGTTGCCAGCCAGCAATGAGCAAGGGTTATGATATACAGGTATGGGAAAGTTTATCCGGAGTGCTGGTAACTGGAATGCTAAAAATACGGATATGTTCTGGAACATTTTTTGCCCGGTACTCCAAACTCTGAAAAAAAAACACACACAAAAACACTGCATGCTGAATAAATGATCCCATACCTGTACATCCTGAAAAGAGGTTGCAAGAATCAGAATGGAAAAGAAAAATGGAGAGGAAGATATAAAGGACATACAAAGTTCAGTTTGTATACGGTACCTCATGGAATTTAATAAAAAGGCATAAATAAACTGTAATACAGGTACCGTATATCTCGGCCTATAAGACGGAATTTGAACCTTAAAAAAATCAGTCCAAAATTAGGGGTCGTCTTAAGCACAGGGTATAAAATTCTTACCTCTTAAATATTGTGGTTTAGCGTGTCAAGAGTGGTGATGGAGAACATCGTAAACCACTCACAAGGTCCTACCACTAATTATTTTATACTGAAACTTACGTTTGGGAAGCTGGATTAAAAATAAGATTACCGGTATATTAAAATAATAAAAATGTATTATAAACCTGTCTAACATAACGTAAAAGAACAATATACCCCGATAAACACAGCTATCATCACGCACCCCCCACCATTTGGTAGTGACGAAACAAGAAAGGGAAAGTGACCAGCTGTAAGAAGGGTGAGATAGGGCTATTTTTAGCCGTCTTTGTGTCCGAGGTGGTCAGTAATGCATATCGGTATACTTACTGATCATAATACTTATCTCCTATAAATAATTCATTTAAAATTAATTTTTTTACAAAGAATATTCAGTAAATGACTGCGTTAATTCTTGAAACTACCGACAGTGGTAAATTTAGGATGAGAATGATGAAGACGAAGTCAGGTCATCTGATTCGGAGTTTGATCCTTAATGATCACCATAAATGTATCAGGTCAACTTCACCTACCAGGTATAATGGTAGCCTCCCTTTGCCGCGAAACAAGTTTATAAATTAAAGAAAATACTTGCAGTGTGTTTAATATATTACAGTATATTATAAATAAATAAATAAACAAATAAATCGGTAAATCCATTTCAAGTAAATGGAAAAATTTTACTCGACACCGACATTAGTTCCAGTTAAATAACAGACGCTTAAGTGACGTCACTAGTGTTTACACTACACCACCCGGTAACATTTGATGCCATTACTTGAAGTGAATTGGTCTTATTTTAAAAAAACAAGGATGTGTAAACAGCACTGGTCAATGTGATGGTTGGTAAAGGACTACTGGGTCAGTAAGCTTCCAATGGTAAGTGTCACATTTGGGGTACCAGTCTTATACAGCAAATAGAGGTCAAAACCTACTTTTTAAATGGAAATTTTTGGGGTCGTCTTATACACCCCGTCGCCTTGTAGGCCGAGATATACGGTACACCACCGATTTTCCGGGAAGTGATGGTCCGACACCTCCTTTAGTCAGGACAAAATGATTGAGAGGGCACTTAAGTTCCCTCCCTCCCTCCCTCCCAGCCTAGGTGAAGCTACAGTAGTTTTAGGCTTAAAGTTTTTATCTTATAAAATGTAGCTGACTAGACTTAGCAGAATATAAATTCCATTGCTGGAATCCTTGTAAGATAGTGATTAATTTGAGTATAAACATACATAGTTTGCACAAGAGATAAAATTTTTAGTCTAGTGTAGTACAGTGGTCCCTCGATTTTATGCGGTCAATTGAACCCGCAGAGTAGCGCGTAAAACGAGAAACGCGTAAATGGAATAACAGAACATATGGGATTACCGTATATCTCGGCTTATAAGACGGAATTTGAACATTAAAAAAATCTGCCCAAAGTCAGGGGGTCGTCTAAACCACCAAGTATAAAATTCTTACCTCTTAAATATTGTGGTTTAGTGTGTCAAGAGTGGTGATGGAAACATCGTAAGCCACTCACAAGGTCTTACCACTAATTATTTTATACTGAAACTTACGTTTGGCAAGCTGGATTCAAATTAAGATTACCGGTATATTAAAATAATAAAAATGTATTATAAACCTGTCTAACATAACGTAAAAGAGAATTATACCCCTGTAATAAACACAGCTATCATCACACACCCCTCCCCACGCCCCCCCCCATTTGCCAGTGAGGAGACAAGAAAGGAAAAGTGACCGCGAGATTGGGCTATTTTTAGCCGTGGAGGTGGTCAGTAATGCATATCGGTATATTTACTGATAATAATACTTATCTCCTATAAATAATTAATTTAAAATTTATTTTTTTACAAGGAATATTCAGTAAATGACTGCATTAATTCTTGAAACTACTGACAGTTAAATACAGACGCTTAAGTGACGTCACTAGTGTTTACACTACACCAGCTGGTAACATTTGATGTCATTACTTGAAGTGAATTGGCCTTATTTTAAGTAACTAACCATAAATAAATACAAAAAGTAAAAAAAAGATCAAAAGTGAGAAATAATATACTGTATGTATGTTGTGTTGTCAAAGTTAGAGGAACAATTCAAACTGCAATTGTGTGTAAATGAGGCAGAAAGTCAGGTCAGCGCTGAACCTGGGACTTGGTCACAATTTTCGTGATGCCATATGGCAGCAGGGTCTACCATTAGACAACACATTATGCTTCCAATATCTTCCCAGGCGGTAGTATCTACCTGTTTGGTAGCTGCCTACTACCTACACAATTTTTAGAAATATTACTTTGATACATGATAAATTAGACAATGAAAATAAACATCAAATTTAATTACCAAGACGCTTCCCATTGGCAGCTGTAAGAAGAGGGGGAGATGGGCTATTTTTATCCCGTCTTTGTGTCTGAAGTGGCCAGTAATACCATATATTTACTGATCATAATACTTATCTCCTATAAATAATTAATTAAAAATATATTTTTTACATAGAATATTCAGTAAATGACTTTTAAATAAATAAACAAATAATTCGGTAAATCTATTTCAAGTAAATGGAAAATAAGCAAACAAATGTTATTTACCACCACCCTTCCCTCTGGCTCAGGGTGAGATGGAGGGGAGATAAAGAAGGCTATTTATAGCCCGTCTTTGTGTCTGAAGTGACCAGTACCCTAATGCACCATAAATAATTCATTTAACATTTATTTTTTGTACATATATTTTGTTGTATATATATATATATATATATATATATATATATATATATATATATATATATATATATATATATATATATATATATATATATATATATATATATATATATATATATATATATATATATATATATATATATATATATATATATATATATATATATATATATATATATATATATATATATATATATATATATATATATATATATATATATATATATATATATATATATTTCAAGTAAATGGAAAAATTTTACTCGACACAGACATTAGTTCCAGTTACCGGTAAATAGCAGACGCTTCAGTGACGTCACTAGTGTTTACACTACACCAGCGGGTAACATTTGATGACATTACTTGAAGTGAATTGGCCTTATTTTAAAAAACCAAGGATGGTTGGTAAAGGACTACTGAGTCAGTGGGTAAGTGTCACATTTGGGGTACTGGTCTTATACAGCGAATAGAGCTCAAAAGCTACTTTTTAAATGGAAATTTGGGGGGGCCGTCTTATGCACCCCGCCGCACTACCTATGTTGTAGCCGTATGATTAATATTTAAGAGAAATACAGTCGCCAGGTTAAGTCCATTCAAATAATGGACTCAACTCCCCACCCTCTCTTCCCATGCTTGCTGGCTCCTCCCTCTGAGAAATGTTTGGGTGAAAACACTAGATTTTAAGGTATAGTAATAAATAATAACTCAGACTAAAGTTAGGATAATATAATTGACATTGCTGGATTCCTTGCAAGACCAGGAATATTTTGAATATAAACGTCATATATTTTGCACACAAGATAAAATTTTGGCTCTTTGTAATCAAAATTCTTACATTAGATTTAAAATTTGTATGTCTAATGCAAATTCCATGATGTTTATATTTAAAATAATCACAATCTTATAAGAATCCCAGCAATGTAAATTATATTCTGGCAGGGTAATTTGTATGAATTTTATGAGCTAAAACAAATATCTTCAGAAAATAAACAAATTATACTTCACCCGCGTAAATGAGTAATTCACTGCGTAAATCGGGCATCCCGGTTCTGGCAAGGTACCGCGTAAATGACCAAACGCGTAAACGAGAACCGCGTAAATCGAGGTTCAACTGTACAGTACATTTGAGTGTAAGGTGTGAACAGTAATGTTGCTCAAAATTATGGCGTTTTCACATTTAATTTACATTTAATATTTGTATAATTTAAGCTTCTAGTAGTCCATGGTGCTTTAGAGACACAGGAGCTGTTTAATTAGTGGGTCAGAGGTGTATTGTTGAATTATTATTACCTGACCTCGGTTGGTCCGGCAAAAGGGATAATCCAGCAAGGTTTTGGAACCAAGGGTGCCGGAAAATCGGCAGTGGACCTATATAGAAAATTACTGTACATACTCTGCTGAAGTGGTGGAAGAGCAGGATGAGGTGACTGAGGCAGTGAGAGCATCTTGCTCATCAGGAGTCTGTGCAGGAGTTTCTTGTTTTGTATGAATCTGTACAGACCGACCCTGTAAGCAAACATAAAAAAATATTATCTTGACTACTAGGTACTGTATTCAGTGTTACAATCTAACTGCATATTCTATATGCAGTAGGTTATTCAGTGTTATAAGCTTACCGTATGAGTGAAAAAGACAAATTTCCTTATTGATAACTGATGTAATAAGTAATTCAGCAGTTTAAAAAAAATCACTATTATACTTATATACTTTGGACAAAGTATACTTACTTGCATGAATCGGGCAAATTTGAGAGCAGTGGCTCTTTCTGCCTCACTCATATTATCAGAGTCTGTAGCAGGCATGTCCCTGGAGGAGTACCGCGTCAACACAGCTCGAGCATCACATCCAGCCTTGGCTGCTTGATTAGCCACCTCCTGCATAAAAGGATGGTGGTTGATAAAATGCTGGAGAAGGAAGAAAAGGAACATTCAAACTTCACAAGAGAGAACCAGAGATCTCTGGTAGTGATTGTTAAGATGCCAGAAGAAAGAAAAGGAGCATAAAAAGTAAGACAACTTCAAAGAAACATTTACTGTAAGACTGAATAATGGTTACTAATAAAAGTAATTATAAGAGTAATTGCAGCTGAAATAAATTTCACGAAAGAGGTGTGAAGATTTAATAAACCGAGGGTTGAAGACTTTTAAGTTACCAACTGTCTTGAAAGTATTTGGCCAATTTGATAAAAGTATTTCTACATACTTTCATATACCGGTGAAGTATACCTTGCTTATATAAAAAACCCACTTCTGCCTTTCATCCCAAAGTGTGACCTTGACCTTTATGATAGGTGTCTGAGTGGTGCTCACAATTCATCAGGTTATTGCCATTTACCAATTCTATTACAGTATTATCATCATAGTCCCTGTGGTGGTTCCAAAGTTATAGAATGGGCACAAAAATACCTACTTTTGAGATTTGACCCTGAAGACAAAGATATGAGAGTCCTCCAGAATGGTCACAGTGACCTAATTTTTTAAAGGTAACCAAGAGTTATCAGATAATCATGTGTATGAGGTCTAAAAGACTAAAATATTGTTTAATTTAGAACCAGAGTTTAACATAAAATTGAACATTAACTATACTTCCCCAAGATATAGTTAACATCAACAACATAGATAGTGTACAGCCCAAAACAGCAACTTAAATAAATCTGCTTATGACAAAATTAGGATGTACAGTATAATTAAATCATATGAAGAAAAAAAATACAGGAAAGCTAACACAAACATTTAGAATAGAACGAAAAATGGCAAACGCAATCTAATGGGGAAAATCTAAAGTTCTAAGGCCAGGAAATGGAAATAGGAACCAGTTATCAGCTGAACACTGTAGAAACCTGTACAGTATAGAGAAATCTCATGGTGTGAAAGATTAAGGGTTAATGAGAAGTAAGGACCTTAAATCCCGTCCAAAATGTATTTGTGTATGTAATACTTTGACACAATACTACTACAGTACTAGGGTTCATATCAAGAAGCATTAGTAACAGGAGCAGTTGTGATATTTTACAACTACCTTTAGGGTCAGTGAGACCTCACTTGGATGATGTGGTTCATCAAATAAAAAACATTGAGCCCTGAAGGGACTGGTTGGAAGTTCCATTTTCTGTGATATAATCTAAGATACTAATTGAAGGATCTTTTCAAGGGCGGATGACTTGGATCTGTGGTTACGTAACTTTGGAAAGATAGTTATGGCAGTACAGTAGTAACCACTACTATGCTCTCAGCGTATAACAGTTAAATCTGTCGTCAGAGATATGTTTAAGACTTCAAACTACTTATAGTGCAAACAATCGTGCAAAATCAATAAATACTTTGGTGTATACGCACCGTACATCTGGACCTACAGCAGCTCTGATTTTCATTGTATTGAACATAAGATGAGCACAGCGCTGAAAGTCCCCCCATTTCAATTTTTTTTTGCATTAGTACAGTATAATTATTTACTATACTTTAGTCTTTAGAGGCTTGCAATATAAGGGTCATTTCAGTGCATTGCACCTATGTTCAGTGCATTGCACCTATGTTAAACACTCCTATCTGTCATGTTCACTGGCAAGGTTTCATACAAACCATCTGCTTAGTCCCTTGATTATAAAAGCATTTTTTTCTATTACTTTACTTCATCTCTTTCCTACTGGTTGGCACTCTAGCCGGTCAGTCATTTCTCTGTTATACACTGTTGGCAAATATTGGGTATGCATTGGCTCCAGAATGTACTTGAACTGTGCCAGTGTTAATTAAGTCTGGTCATAAATGAGTTTGCCATCACAACACTCTCTGGAAGATTATTCCATGAATTCACAACTCACTCCAAAAAGTTAGCTTTGACAATTTTGTGCATTTGTGGCTTCTTTAACTTGAGGCTGTGACCTCTTGTAAAGCATGCAAAAACTAGCTTGTGCACTCAACTGAGGAATCTCCTCTGAGGTGCCTATAGACTTCTATTAAATCACCTCTTGCCTGTCTACAGTATAAACTAGGCAACCACAAGCATTTTAATCTTTCTTGATACCTGAGGTGTTGGAGTACAGGTACCAGTCTGGTAGCCCTCTTTTTTTCTCAATCAACTGACAATCTCCAACATATTTTGGGGACCAGACAGGATGACAGTACTCCAAGCGAGAAAGAAACTCACCTTTGAAGAACATTATGAGGTATGTGACTGATCTTTGTATAACTCCTAGTGACTTATTCACTTGATTTACCCTCTTCTCACAATGGTCTGAAAACTTCAACTTTTTGTCAACATATACACCCAGATCCTTTTCACATTTGGTGTCAGTTAATGATGCTTCCTCATCACATTCGGACATGTGAAATACCTCCTAACTATTGCCATGACGTAGGTGCATCCTCTTGTATGATGTAATATTAAATCCGTAAAGCTATTTTTTTTTACAGCTCCTGAAACCGACAAATCTTCTTGTAATGTTTCACAGTCTGTTTGGTTCTTAATTTCCCTCAATATCTTAGCAGTATCTGCAAACATTTGTATGAAGGAATGAATAACATCTGGCTCATCTTTTATGAAAAAAATTAACAAAGATTTCTTGTGGTCCTAAAGAAAGTATGATCCATGCCAGGATGTTTCTTTCATGAGGTATGCTATCGGATGCCTTGGTGACAAAGTCTAGGTATATACTGTACTGTCGGTGTTGCCATCACAATCAAGAATCTGCATCCACACATCCAGCACCATAAAACCATGTTGGCATTCCTTTATGAGGTTGTTCCGTTGTAGATATTCCATCATGGTTTTGTGTACTGTATTAAGCTCTCTAATACTTTATACTCTTTGCTGGTCAAACAAACAGGCCTGTATTTGTTTATGCAGTGACAATCTCCTTGTTTGAATATAGGACTCACTTATGCCATTTTCCAGTCACTGTGAATCTTTAGTTCATCCATGCTTATGCAGAGCAGGATCTTAAGGGGCTCTGTGAGCTCATTGCACAACTCATTTAATACTCTGGGATGCATATTATCAGGGCCAAGGCTCTTATGAACCTTGAGCTTTTACAATTTGGTTCTAATACACTAATGTGAGAATTTAGTTTGCGATAGTCACATCCATTGTCATTAATTTCAATATTGCATTATGGTAAAAAGCCTTAGGGTTTAACTTGGCCTCGTTTGCAATCTGCCTCGAAACTCTTTTTCAGCCTTTCTAGATTCTGATTTGGCTTGGCTTGGTTCCTGGACCAAACATACATCTTTGTCTTGCTCATCATTTGTCATGACACATCTCTTGAGCTCTTAAGATTTCTTCACAACTTTGACAATTGCTGCATGGTTCATATATAACAGTCTCCTTGTCCTGGAGCCAGCAGGCTTAGTCTTGGGTATGTATTTGTCCATCAAATAATTAAGTTTACTCTCTATGATATTCAAGGTAGTACAGTAGTCCCCATGGTTGGCAAATCTGCAGTTGGCAAGACTAAAGGGAAATAGGGGGTTAGGTTCCATGGGCACGGATAACACTCGTCAAAGCCTAACTAAGTTGCCTGTTCCTTCACTCAACAATACCTGAATTGTACACTTAATTAAAGTTGAGTCAAATAAATATACAAGTAATATAGCTTAATATAAATTACATAATAATATAAGCTTTACAGTACATCAGGTTATTTGGGTAATGGGAAACAGTAAAAATTCCATAAATACAGTAGCTGTATTTAGTTATTTTTAATTAATTCCTCAATTTTCCCAATCAGTTCAATGTGATATGGTGACAAATCAAGTTTTCTAATAGTACAGTAAGTACAAGAAAATCTTTGAAGCATAAGGTTTCCAAGTTATTAAAGGCTGAAAAAGGCAATTCTCCTATTGTTATGTAAGAGAACAGACAAAATAAGTTCCTGGTCTGATGTCATGCTATCAAACTCAGTTTAATAGTGGCTGGACTAGTGTGACATTGAGTAACAAAACCCAAAGAAGGCAGAAAATGGGTAATGAGCTGAAAAAGGTTGAGAACCAATGCTCTTGATGATCCTGACATTCCTTCTCTCCCATATCAATACTGGCTGTAATCCTTTTGATGCTCTTCTGCAGAGCATCTAACTGTTGCATGACCTGTTTTGATCCTACATCAATCTCAGCCACCTTCCTTGTCCCTGTTACAATCTGAGCGTGGCTTCTTTTGAGTAATTCATTTTATGCTATCAACTGCTTCCTTAGCCTTGTTGAGGATCTTTTTTTTTAAGTGCTCTAGTTTGGTAACCACCAAGGATCTAATTTCCTCTGTTTGGCTCGTAAATTTCTCCCTTCTTATAGATTTGTAATAGCCTCAACAGCTTTGGTCTTAAAGTCAGGGCAATACCAGCAACAAACTTTAGATTTTGTTAAATCCAATAGTAACCTACATCCTTTACTGTCCCTAATTGCACAATCCTTGCAAAATTGCTTCTCACAGTGCTGTAGTTGCATGCCAGCAATCTTCCTGCAGCAGCTGCGGTCGTGCACTCTGAACCACTGCTCATTTTAATATATATATATATTTCTGCTGCACATAATTTTCCTTGAGTGATACATAGTATGGACAGTTGTTAATAGGGGGCACTAGTGATGAGCTTGACATAAGATGCTTCTGGAGGGATGTGTGGAGGAAATGTTATTCAATGCATTGTGTTTTCTTTGAGTGAAGACTTTACTTTCTCAGGGAATTATCTCTGCCTTGAGCACAACTCAGGATGTGATATAATTTTACTCCATATTTTGCATCATATGGCATCAGAGACTTAAGTGCCTCTCCCACATTCCCCTCATTTTTGATGCAAGCTGAACTGCATATCTATTTATTTTGTTTCTTATTTTTTTATTTATTAATTTTTAGCATCCCTCACTGTTTTTCAATTCAAAAGTCTTCAATCATGTTTCCTGTGCCTTCTGTGGTGGTACAATGCTATTTGTCATGAGGCAATGGATCTCATACACAATGACAGTCATTTAAAATCTTTTTTATAAGTACTGTGGCACCCAATTTTTTTGTTACACATAAACAACTGTCTATGCTTCCCATAAAAGTCAGATATCCTCCAATTCTGATATTCATTAAGATGCACCACCAATGTGACCCATTCGCTTTACAAGAATGACCTTGATGACTTTATGAATTTAATGGCCAATTACTTCTTATGATAATCTGATACTGGTTCAATATCATGTACTGTATCTGTACCCATAAGGCTATCACTTTTTATACTAAAATGTTCAAAGATAGAGCCTTCATTTTAACACAGTAATTAAGAGATAAGATGGTATTATCCACATACTGCTTACTAGTCATTAAAGTTTATGAATAAAAAATTTACCTGATTAAGACCTTTCATTTCTAAGTTTCTTTGTCAAACACTGATTTACTAAACATCTAACCTTTTCACTTTTCGTAAAGTCATGGTGGTGGTTGAGAGGCTGGGGTGTGGTACCAAGACCGAGCTTTTCCCGTAGAAGGAGGAAATGTCTTGTTTTCTCCACTTGAGTTAGGCGCGCAATCTTTTCCAATTCCCACTGATGTTCAAATATGAGAGAGTCTCCCCGTGGCCTCCATCCATGAAGGTTTTCTTCGCCACGCACGTAAGTGGAGCTTGTGTCCAGCACTCTTCGTTGCCTCCGTTGTAATCCTGAGAAATAACTTTAATTATTAGTGGAAGTTATAACACCAGATCTTCAACCAATAAAGACCTGGGTAGGTATATAACAAACAATATATACAATTTTATCATGAATCAATCCTATAAATTTTCATCATGAAACAATCATATCAACTTGATACATATGAAGAGAGCTGGTCACAGGTCATTGAGTACAGTACAGTATATGTAAGCAAATTCATGCCCCACTAGTCTTGGGTCAAGATGATTATATATAGATATATATATATATATATATATATATATATATATATATATATATATATATATATATATATATATATATATATATATATATATATATATATATATATATATATATATATATATATATATGATAAAAAACAGTAAGGCAGCAGGCATCTATGAAATTATTGAAGCATGAAGCAGATGTAGGATATAATATTTATGATAACAAGCTCAGGCTAGTAAAGGTAGTGTTCACATATGCAGTAATTGGTACAAAAAGAAAATTAAGTGTATGGAAGGATATAAATTTACCAAATGATAAGGATATTAACATTATAACAGGTAAATTCTATCAGTCAATAAAGTGGGGATATCAGAGTTTTTAAAGTCTTTTATCTCTATAGGGGGCAAATATATTACAAGTTTAGGTGGGTAAAAGTATCCGGTACAGGTTGATTGTTAAAACCCTGCATGTGCAGATAATACAGTATTAAAAAAATGTTTGATTCAAACATGATAATTTCAAGCTCAGGTTTTAAGTCATTTATGTAAGTTGTAGGCATGAATAGTGAACACCCATTTGCACTGTACTATATTAGAATATTGTATATTCTGCTGTTCAGTAAGTTCTCTTTGACTGAAAGCAGTAACTCATTAGTGTTTCAAAGTTATGGAGCCTTATATACCATGTAAAATAAAATAACAAGGGATAAAAGTATGAAATCCCATTTCATGGTTGAAGGAAGGAGACAAGAATTCTCCTAGATCATTCACTCAAGCATCTCTTGGCAGAACAGTCTTATTCAGGCACAGTAGCTGTTTACAATCTATGGCTAGAATATAGTCCATTCAGATCAGTGCAAAGGTACATATACTGTATTGCTACTTGCCCAGATGAACCAGAATGTATGTAGTGAGCTCCAACCTTGACTTCAGAAGTCAGCAAGTCAACAGGTACACCAGGACAATTCATCTTTATATTACTTAATCCTCTTTGTCATTGATCAGCCTGTTAGCCACTTGGGCGGTTGGTCACATCTCTGTACTGGCTCCAGAATGTATCAGTACCTGTGCCGGTGTTGGTAAAGTCTGGTCTTGAATGAGCTCACACTCTTTGCCATCATATCACTCTCTGGCAGATTGTTCCAAAAGTTACAACTCTCACTCCAAAGAAGTTTGTCCTGACAATATTCTGAACTCTAATGGGGCAGGCATCCACCAGCTCCAGGTATGAACAAGAGACTGAGTAATGTCCTCTGAGGTATTTATAAACTTTTATTAGTAAACCCTTGCCCACCTATATTATAAGCTAGGCAATCGCAGGTGTTCTAATCTCTGGGTACCAGTCTGGTGGCCCTCCTTTGGATGCTTTCAATCAACTTATGATCTCTATCATACTGTACTCGCATAAACAGTACATTCTTCATTTACGCGGTCAATTGAACCCGTGGAGGTCCGCATAAAACGAGAAACACGTAAACGAAATAACAGAACATATGGGGTTAATTGAAACAGAGACTGGGCCGACCCCCAAACTACGCTTTTTCCGACACAATAAGTACGTTGTAGTAAAAATAACATCTTAATTTTATGATGTTATGCACACACAATTAATATTTAAGAGAAATATCAATAATATTAGGTTTTTTAACACTTACGTTAGTAGAAAAGATGGCTGGGCACATGGGGATGGGGGGTTGGTTCCGAGGCAGAGGGCAGATTATTGGCCCTCACCTGTATCACTTGTATCAATTGTATCACTATCCACCACAGAGGCTTGTAGGGCCTCTTTGTCAAACCCCTCAAAGTCCATATCCTCACTATCACTATCACTGACTTGGGCCGGCTGTGGTGGGTGGCGGTTGAAGAACTCGGTAATGTTGTGTTGACTGGGCTACCTTGTGCGCACCCTGCCCGTGCCGCTTCCCACGTAAATGATGGAATGAACTGTGTAAATAAAAATTGTCGGTCTGGCAAGGTGCCGTGTAAATGACCAAACACGTAAACCAAATCCGCTTAAATCGAGACTATACTGTATTGGGGACCATAAGGGATAACAGTACTATACTCCAAATGGGGAAGCACCTCACATTTGAAGAGTGTTATGAGAGATGGACCATCATGGCATCTGAAAGCTCTTCTAATAAGACCATCTAGCTTAGTTGCTTAATTCACTTCACTGAAACGCTTCAGACATCAATCCATACATTTTTATTGAGAATATAGGAAACCTTCCCCCTAGTGTAAAAATGGCATTTTTGTACTTCCGTCCTGATTCAGAACCAATCAGGCAAAGTGTAAGTAAAGGATGTCATATGTCAAAGAACCAACCCAAAGCAACTCACCTAAAAAGTGTGAGGGCATCCAATAGACATAACATTCTAGTAGAGACAGCTTTCATAAAGCAAAGTTTATACTAAGCCTTTAGTATACAAGGAATTTAGCCAATATTGCACTCAACCATCTTCACTTCTCCAGCTACAAATTCAGGTACAGTAATCATTCACAGCTTGGTGGTAAGGGGGCACCCAGGGAGCAAACCAGCAACCCCTTGAATGGGATGTGAGTGTGGTATCCACAAGGCTGCAGCATCCCACTTAGAGAGCCCTCACTATGAAAAATAAGCCAGTCATAGTTGATTCTCAGCACAGTGCAGTTTGATGTAAGATTCATCACTCACAGGATAGTTAGTAATGGATAGAGATCCATGAGCTCTGAGAAACTTCGACTATAGGGGTTCTGTTTTTCATGAAGTAAACATGTAATGGATAGCTATCGTTCACTGTAAATAACCCACAAAAATGCATGAATTATAACTCCTCAAAAATATTATAGGTGTATTGTTCAACCCCCTACTTTTTTAATAAAAATTATATTATATAAACTTGAACTATACTCGAGTATATATGGTACTAAAAATTGTGGGAGTATGACAGAGGCATTATGAACACATGGGGTCCCTGGAGTCATTTTCCCTTTATTCGCCATTGCACAGATTCAATGCTCAACAACTGCGGAACACTTTACCACTACATATTCATCTTTTGCGACCTGCACATTTGTTGTATGAACTACTTGCCATGGCCGGGTAATAAAGTAGTAAGGATAAATACATGTAAAATAAGATACAATTACCAGTCATATTTAAACAAATGCAAATAAATTACTGTATCATTCTTTAAATTTCCATTGGTATGAATACTTCTGTGTGTAATGTACCATAAATAAACTTGCTGCACCTGTACAGTACTGTACAGGTATACCTCTGGCAATGAAACCTCTGGTAATGAACCTTGTTTATTACAAAGTTTGTTTTCTCCCTCTTTTTTTTTTTTGGCTTATAATTAACAAAAAATAATAACAAGAAAACTAATGGAATCCAGCAAGAAAGTATTGCCATAGCCTTTTGTTTTAATTTCAGCCAATTAGAATGAAGTGTGCAACTCAAAACATAAACAAATCTTAAAACACCACTTTTTCTCACTTTAACACTACAGTAATTCAATCATTTCAAAATGCTTTTTAATAAATTATAACTCAACTAGAGTCTGAACACCTGCTTCCTAGACCTTAAGAATCGTCCAAAGATTAGCCTAACTAAGAATAAGTCTGTCTATAAGATATAATGGAGCTGAGGTCAATACTAGCTTCATTAAACTTATATAATATAAGAAATTATTCCATGATAATTCATATACAAATCAAATTTAGCTGTCCAGACATGAATCAAGAAGACCCTCCGGGAATTCCACAAAACTGCAGAGATTGACAGAAAACTAACACCTCTCTTCCCTATCCAACTCCAATATTGAGAATGAGAAGAGTCAACTACAGTAAATCAAAGAGAGGAGAGGAAACCCTGTTTTGACCAACAATTGTACAACTATTTGTTAATTTTCTTACCTAACTCTATTAGGAACCTAAGAGGTATGATCATTAGGGGAAGGGTCTACAGCCTCAAACTCTACAATTGGGCTAAACCCCCCAAAACCTTGACTTGCACTTTTCCCAAAAGTAAAGAATTTTAACAAAGCCTGTACTGAACTTTCTAAAAAGCCTCCTCTTTGGCCCTGACATATGAAAATCAGTCTTTCTCTAAAAAAAAAGAAAAGAAAAATAAATGCACTATTGTCCCAATTATTCTTGACCCTCCTCTTGCTAATTGGATTAAGACAACATGGGAAGAATCTCTTCCCATAAAATTGCCACCCCATCAATGCCTTCCTCAAAATGAATGGATAATCAGACACACTACTCTAAGAGACTTCTTCCTAAATTTCCCACTAAAGGTCATCTGAATTTTCAAGCCCCTGGCCATTAACCCAAGTTCCATTCTATCCAACAGTTCTAGATAAAAAAATGCATTTAAAATGAATAGATTAACAAATCCACAGAAAAACTAAAAAAGTAGCAAATCAGCAGCTATTTATTGCTTGACTTTCACTGAGCTTCTATAGCTTATAAGGTAAGACTAAAAGGGATTTTTTTTTTTCAGAATCAGTTGTTCCTAACAAAGCCACATTCAGCTTCATTAAAATGAAAACTTGTGCAAAGGTCCTGAAAAATCAAATGGTTAATTTGAAATAAAATAAGAGGAAATGACTGAAAGCACAAGTTTTTTTGCTGAGAGCTCCAGAAGAGAAGTGTACTCAGAGATGAAACCTGCTCCCAGTCCAAGATAGGAAATTAACCCACCAAAGCTGGAGGCTGAGAACATTTAAAGACATCCCTCCTTAGTGTAAGCAAAACTAAACTCTGTTAAGAAGCTGGAGCTATCCAGG